CTCCCCGCCCCACCGCCGCCCCGGCTCCCGGCCCACCGCGCGCCTTGATGGAGCCCAGGCGCGGGGACCCGAGAGGTTGAGGGAGTCTGGTGGCTAGAAAGCTCCCCCTGGGTGCTGACGGGAGAGCAGTAAACACAGTTGCATCAGGAGATTGTTCACGAAAATACCCTGCGGTTTGCTTCCGTTGCTGCTTGTCAAACCAGGCTAGTTCTGCACTCCAAGAACCAAGCAGCCACAGGTAAAATATTTATATTCTATGTGCAACACGTTAAGATTCTTACCTGTCATTCTCTTTAGAAACGGAAAGCTCCATCCTCTTCTCCACCCACCCCGCCCTGCCCCAGCACCACCCCCATGTACTTCACACATCAACCATCTTTTTGGTTTTACTTCCCTCAAACTGGAGGAATAGAAATTTAGAAACTTGAAAAGCAGATACATTATATTCTTTCTGCTGTGTTGTGCCTGTCAGCGATGCTGATAATCATGTAAATAATCTCTACCTGTGGGGTTAAAAAAAAAAAAAAAAACAAGAAAAACAACTTGAAGAGCAGAACACCATTATGCAATAGTAGCTACAATTAACTCATTCATTCAAAAAAGTCATTCCCTTCTCTTGGTTCTAAGTGTACTAAAGTCACAAAAACTGGCAAATACCCCCTACCCTTAAGGTGTTTGCACTCTAATAGGAAACAGGTACATAGTTCTTCTCATGGTCATAAATGCTGTGGAGAAAATCAAAGCAAGGACAATAAACAGTTTGCTGGTAGGGAAAGGAAGAATAGGTTGCAATTTTAAACAAGGCTGTCAGGGCAAGCCTCATTGAGAAAGCAGGAGCTAGGATTATTGGGGAAAATCCCGTGACTAGATTGAGACAGTTGTTATGAAGTGGTGGGAGTTGAGGGCGGTAATGAGATTGGTGTGCGTGGGGGGGGAGGGTGATAGAGAAGTGATGGGGACAGACTTTGTTAGCCATTTAAATACTCTGACATTTGCTGTGAGTGAAATAGGAGGGTTTGGGACCAGGAAGTAACATGGTCATGACAAGATTAGGTTTCCAAATAATTCATTCTCTCTCTGAAGATATACTAATATATCCCAAAATAATATATATATTTTTAGATTTATTTATTTATGCATACAAGAACTGGGGTACAAGACCAGAGGTGTAGGGGGTGAGAGGATTCTCTGAGACAGAGCAGTATATACTGAAATATACTGCTGAGGGGAGCAGCAGGAGGGAAGGAGAGGGCTGCTGCACCATGTGGCTCACCTCCCTGACTGGGTATCCCACTTCTGCTACAGTGGCTGTGGCTAGCTTTATAATGCTGTGCTTCAAGCTGTGCTTCAACCATTGCCCACCAGGCAGGGCCCATCAAAGTAATATATATATTTTTTTTAAAGATTTATTTATTTATTCATACAGAACTGGGGTACAGGCCAGAGATGCGGAGGGTGAGAGGCTTCACCAGAGACAGAGTGGGGAGCAGAACAGGCAGATCGACGAAGTACACTGCTGAGGGGAGCAGCGGGCGGGTCAGGAGAGGTCTGCCACGCCACGTGGTCACCTCCGGGGCAGGCGGGAATCGAACTCATGCAGAAGTGGCTTTAGCTTCTTAGTGCTGTGCTTTAACCCGCTGCGCCACCAGGGAGGGCCCAAAGTAATATATTTTAAACTAAGCTATTTTGAAAATGAGTTACAGAGATCTCAAAATGTTTATCTTTTCCTTAGTAATTCTTTACTCTAATAAGGGACATAATAAAAACCACGTTATATACACAAAGTTGCTATTCTTCGTAAGACTGCAGGCTGTTAAGGAACCTACTTCCTCAGATCTAATTATTGGTTATAAAATACTACAAGATAATATGTCCCAACTACCTTTAATAAATTTAATCAAGGCCTCAGACATTAGTGGATATAGCCCATTAATTAATTTTGTTTTCAGTGCATTGGGAATATTATTCCTTTATAAGGGCACTCACATTAAAAGAATTCACTAAATATTAATCATGCTATCAAGTTCTGGAAAGAATTTTTGAGTCATGTGGTCTTCATTGAATACTTAGTGATCAAGTTCTTTTGGGTTCAGGGATAATACCTCTCAAATATGTGGTAGTATTTGATGGTGGTATGCAAGTACAGGTTTTTAAACCCAGAGAAGAGACTATACTAAAGCAAAGTTGCCTCTATTCCGGAAACAAGAATTTTTAAATTTATTTTAGGTATAGGTACAGGCTCATTAAGAACTATTTTCCCAATGTGATTATTGTTTTTTTTAAAGATTTATTTATTTGTTCATACAGAACTTGGGTACAGGTCAGAGGCTCAGGGGCGGCAAGAGGCTTCACCAGAGACAGAGTGGGGAGCAGAACAGGCAGATCTACGAAGTACACTGCTGAGGGGAGCAGTGGGCAGGTCAGGAGAGGTCTGCCACCACAGTGGAGCTCCTCCGGGGCAGGGGGGAATCGAACTCATGCGGAAGTGGCTTTAGCTTCTCAGTGCTGTGCTTTAACCCGCTGCGCCACCAGGGAGGGCCGTGATTATTTCTTAATGAAATAAAATAGAATGTCCAAGAAAGAAATACACAGTATATAGTATTTTATGAAGATTGAAAAAAATTAGACATTATTTATTGAACTGAGGAATTGAGATACACAACATCTACCTTACTTTGAGCAGACATATGTCCTTGTCCTCTCATAGTCAACAAAAGACTAAAGTAGGGAAAGAAAAGAAGTAGGAACTAACATTTTTTTTATATCTACGATATTCTCCACTAGCCCTTCCAGATCAGTAACTATTATCATTTATATTTTACATATTAATGGAAGTAGAGTTTAGAAAAGATTACTTTCATATCACTCATAGTAGTGATATGTGGCTTGCCCATTTTTAAGGATTTGTACTTAGTTCTCTTAGTCAGACATCTTCCTTGGAATTTGCATTTTCACTCGTTGAATTATTACAGCCTGTCCCTGTTAGTCAGTGGTGTTTCACAGCAACTATAAGAGATCAAAATTTGTCCTTTCTGATGTTGATGAGGTTTAGAAAATTAATGCTGCTCTAAATACCCATGATTTAACAGCTATATAAATAGATATGATTACTATTTGATCTATACTATCAAAGTCAAACTATATTATGCTATAAACATCATGCCCTTAAATCCATACTGTCTACAGAGAAATCTCCACTCTTACATTATTATAAAGTAGAATTTTGTTGAAGATTAGCAAAAGTGCGATTGCTTCATCTGAGATACATCTTGCTCTTACTGAAACTGTTATCACTACCACTTTCCTGTTCCTTTACATGCTTTATGCTGCAATGAATAAAGAAGGAAGGAAGGTGGTTCAGGTTTGCAAAAAAAGAAAACACTATGAACTATAAAGGATACTAATGAAAAAATAGCACTACATCAGATATAGTAAAGCCATAGGTGGATATATAGATCTACATCTATATATCAAGAAATACTTTAAACTAGAAGAAATTTTTGTTAATTAGTAATTGAAATACTACTTCTAAAGCATATTTCTTTTCAAGATCTGATTGTATGCTTGGAAACAGTCTCTAATACGCTGTGGTCCTGTAGGATATGGGTAATCACATTGTCATGGTCATGGCAAAATGTCATCTTTACTGAATGGGGAAACAATGGCACTGCAATTTTGGATGCTCTTCTCAAACCCACAATTTAACCACTACCTGTTTCATAAGAAAAGAAACATAACAAAAGAAAGTAGATGAAAATTTCTAAAAGGTCAATTTTAAAAATAATAATAGTTAGACTTATAGAACTTAAAGAAGTATATGGGATACTACATAGCATATTATTTGTTCCAGCAGTCTGCTTCTAGGAAAACTAAATTCCATCAGAAGCAGGAAATAGGCCAATAACAGATAAAGTAATGGTGGTTAACGGTGAAACTTTCACATATTCTTTCAAAGTAATTATTTCACAATTTACTGGGGTTTGGGAGATATCTAACATGAGATTAAAGGAGCTAGTAGGCCGATTAATTAGCAAGGTAATTCACTTGTAAGTATAAGTAAAAACTTTTGTGATCGAGTTCAAGGTAGCAGACATAAATAAACAAAACCAAAAACAAAAGAAAAGCCCTTGCCTTCTCCTTAACAAACCAGAACATGCTCCTAATGGATAAGGACAATGACTTCTTACCCTACAAAAGAGGTATGAAATATAAGACTTTCTGAAGTGAACATTAGGAAAATTCATAGAATCAACTATCTACTCTTTGACTGATGAGGTGGTACAAAGATCTCTATATTCCAGTTTTCCATTAGAGATGAAAAATTGCTAGCTTAAAAAGAGAATAAATTAGTACCAAATAAGGAAAAACTTCTGAAGTAGTAATGAAACAAAGACAAACTTTTTAAAATATAAAAAATGGAATATAAAAAATTGGTCTTTAAAAATACACCTAGTAGAGGAATTTCCCCTTCTGCTAAGACAAATTAACAGTGACTGTATTCAGTTCCACTTAGAACACCCAAGAGAAAAAAATATATATGTGAAAAAATAAAAGGTCTTCAAGGCAGAAGCCATGAGGTACTGAAGAAAACTGATCTCGAAAATATGGAAAGCAAACTAGGTGATCAGCTTACTGTTTTGAAAGAGTTTCAGAGTGTGGGTGGAATGATTTGGGAGGTGTGGGACAGGATGTAATATATAGAAAATCCAGTCAACTCTGAGTTTATGAAAGAAAGCTGAAGTTCCAGAGAACAAAAGCTGGACCATGCAGGGCAGAGTAGGGCAGACTAGCGAAGAGGAGAAAGCTGCACAGTGTTGATGTAGAGAGGATTCCCTCAGGTAATAAGCAGACTACAGGTAGTACATGTGTATGAGGAAACTATTGTAGTCCAGGAAAAGAGTCTTTTGAACGGAGTAGAGGAACTAAGTGTGGATGAAATAAAAAAAATAAAAGACCAAATGAAGACTAAAAAATTTTAGACAACAAAACAAAACGACTGAGGTAATTACCCAGAGCATCTGTGCATGGATTAAAAGAAGTCCTTCAGGGCCCTCCCTGGTAGCGCAACAAGTTCAGAGGCAGCACTGCACTGCAAGCTAGCCCAACAGCCACTTCAGTGCCAGTTCAATACCCCGCCCGCAAGATGACCCACATGGCATGGCAGACCTCTCCTGACCGGCCAGCTGCTCTCCTCAGCAGTGTACTTCTCCCATCTGCCTTTTTTGCTCCACACTCTGT